TATAATATATAAATTATTTTTATTATAAGATACAAAGTTATAATTATAATTTAATTAGTAAGGCATTTAAAATTAGATGCATCGAAATTTAATTTCCGTCCATCTACGATACATATCTATAAGTAGAGCAATTGCGCAATTTTCGTCAACGCTTGAAAAAATCTGGAGTATTCGAGAGGAATAAGCTTATACAAGATCGGTTTTAAAATTTCGTAATAATATAATTTTGCACGGACTAGAGTATGGTTTTCTCGTAAGATAAAAATTTTAATAAGCAAATATTAAAATGTGGTACCGTGTTAAAGGTAGGCGCCCCTCGCGCGACCGGCCCTGCCTTCGGATTAAACGACGCCTCGCGCTTTTCTTAACCTCCCAATCCCTCAACAGAGGTGACGGATTCTTCGATAGAAAGATCCATCTTATCGGGCGAGAGGGGGGACCTTACCGTAGATGCCGATGTAGCGTTTTCGAGCGAGGAGTCGAATATACGGCCGAGTGTTATCGCGATCCGCAAGCGTCAGAGGTTCGATAACGCACCCTTACTAACGACCACTGGCATAGGAAGTTCGTAGATACGACGAGATTTGTTAAGCATGCGCTTGCGCAGCGATATTAAATGCGTCTCTTTTTAAATGCGTCTCGAAATGCACGCGGATAAAGCTCTTTGAGTTGAGAACCTTGCCTTGATGCATGTCGATTTGAAGACTAGAGGAAAATTACGCGAAGCGAACGTTATAAATGATGCACTTCCGTGTAAAAAAAAACGTGCATCTCTTGGATGAAATATTCTGTGTATCAGTGTTTATAAAACGCTCCACGTTGTGTTATGATAATTAAAAGTCTCGTACGTCATGCTCCAAAATTATCGGACACGTAATTCGTTCGATGCATTTAAAAATTAATTAATTGGACTATGCATGTCGATTTGAAGACTAGAGGAAAATTACGCGAAGCGAACGTTATGAATGATGCACTTCCGTGTAAAAAAAAAACGTGCATCTCTTGGATGAAATATTCTGTGTATCAGTGTTTATAAAACGCTCCACGTTGTGTTATGATAATTAAAAGTCTCGTACGTCATGCTCCAAAATTATCGGACACGTAATTCGTTCAATGCATTTAAAAATTAATTAATTGGACTACCATTTTTTAAGAATACTCTAGGAAAAGATACGATTTATATCTCTGATCTCTAATTATGACATATAATGTTGCAACGTGGCAATCATTCTATGTTCAGGTAGACATTTGCGCAATTGCTGGCGAGATTAACTCATTATTTTGTAGTTCACACATGCTGCGTCTTATTATATTTAATAAGAAACGTAATACATTCTTATATCGATCGTACTCACGTTTTCTCACATTCACTTTTGACAAAAGATCAGGACTAATATGAACGTCGCATCGAACATTCGTAGAAAACACATTCACGATTGAAACAGCTGATTGATTAATACCGGCCACACATGAATAGATTGATACAGTAGAGGGGGAAAAATACGCGCATGCTCGTACCGTTCTGCGATGTATGTGCACTTTGCTCGCACGATGACGCTGGAAGTTGCAAGATTTTAAATTAAAGCGCATCTCCCAATATAAGAATGAATTAAATAATTGAGATAAACTGTAGAGAAACCAAAAAAAATTAGCGTGCCATCACACATCGTACGTTCTCAATTATCTCAGGTCGTGCCTGGTCGATAGCGGTCACGTGTGAAATGAAACGATTCGTCATCGTCGATGACTTTATCTCGTCCTCTTTTTTTAAGAATTAATATGATTGTGATCAATCTTTGATATTTTATGGAGGATTATTTACGCGTGAGTATAAATACGAGCGACGCGAGATAAATAATAAATTTGGATAGAAATGACAATTATATTTTATCTCAGAATAAATAATGTGTATTTTTTTTAAAACGATGATATTTATATTATATATTTAAATTTTAAATATAATCGTGATTGAAGAAAAATATTTATCGATACCTTTTGTGCGGGATAATTGCACAATGAGCTTTCTAGATCGTCACAGTTTGAGGGTCCGTTTTTCACTGGCGTCGCCAGTGAATCTGCAGTTATTCCTCTTGATTATTTAACGAGTTTTACGAGTTACAGCGTCACTTTATACACTCACTACTTACACACATATATTCTTGTACCCGTTCTTAGACTGGCTAGCAGGAAATAAAAATGTCAAATTTATGAAGCCTGTCTTATGAAACTATTTAAGAATTCCTGCCTCCAATCTTATTATGCCTCCAAGCTCCAAGACGACCATGTTGCAATCGAAATCTGCTATGCTAATTGACATTTGCATATATAAAAGATATATTTGAGCAGACAAAAAATATGGTTAAACTAGGGGGATTAATTATAGGATTAATTTTCCAGAAGCGTGCGAATTTACATGTATGTTATAAAGAGATATATTTACATTCTCACATTAAAAAAATTGTTTCGTTAAAATTGTTTTTTTGACGTGTTCAGAAATATTTACTATTTGTTAGATTAGATTATAGACTAAACGACACACAAATAAGAAGCGCGCATATTATAACCGAGATATATATAATGAGCGCGTATCTCTCTCAAGTTTAGCAGCACATTTTGCTATATCGGCAAATAAGTTGCTGTTTCAGATAGTCGATTGTCATGACAAAACGCTGTGTCATAAAAACGAAGAATGCAACGAACTTTAATGTTCAATTCTATTGCAGAATTCTTGATATATCTTGGATACAATAATCTATAATTTGAAACAAGTTTAATGTCCGATAAAATTTATTACAATATATTTCATAATGCTATATAATAAAAATAATCTTTTATTATTCGTAACACAGCGAATTTTTATCTACACATATTAGGTATTTCGTCAAAAAAGAAAAAAGAGATAAGCAAATCAGATTTTTAGAAGCAAATCAAATTTATTTAAAACATTATGCATATTTTTAATAGCTTCGTTTCTCGCATGATTGCGAATGGATACATTGTATACAAGAGATCGGAACGTTTTTTTTTTTAAGCTACGATTGCTGTTCGCACTGGTGATCACTTGCATATGCATTTGCATCCCCATAGAGTCGTCGCTACTACACGTATGTATTCAGATTCGAAGAGGACAATGGGAAATCGATATGGGTAGGATATGGTACGTGTCACTCTCTCTTTGTACATGTCTGTGCACAAGTTGTTTGTTCATGCAGTCGGTGCGTGATTGAACGATGCTCCGCTTCAGTTTCGAAGAATTGCATTCGTTAGAATCGGCGATCGCTGAGGTCAAATAGGTTGGTGTATCTATTGTGGACAAATATATGTATTGCGAAACCCTGAGAATCTCGGAATCTCGTGATCTTGACGGAAGGGGGTAGGAAAGAACCAACGACCTGCCAACCCCACTCGTATCAACGGCGTAACGAATGAGAAGAGCATCGATTAACTTTGCGATTGACATTAGTTTTCCCGATAGCGCGCCGTTGAATTATCGTCTCGGGATTAATTTTTCCCTTTCTGATCCGCGCACGGAGAGCGTATCGTGGATTTATTTTTTTTTCTGAAGTCTGTCTTATGAAACTATTTAAGAATTCCTAACAAAAACGGGTCTCAGTTTATTGTTGCTATGCGACGAAACAAAGAGTAGTGATCTTCGATCTTCTTCAAAGATTACAGATTACAGTTCCAAGCATGACGTAAGAAAATATATAAAAACATTTTTAAAAAATTAATAAAAATATAAATATAAACGGCGTAACGAATGAGAAGAGCATCGATTAACTTTGCGATTGACATTAGTTTTCCCGATAGCGCGCCGTTGAATTATCGTCTCGGGATTAATTTTTCCCTTTCTGATCCGCGCACGGAGAGCGTATCGTGGATTTATTTTTTTTTCCTTGCTTGAACGCCGCTTAACGAGAGAATCGAGGTAGCAACGGCAGGGGGGATTCACATTTAATGGAACGTAACGTCGGGTATTCTGAATCAACCGGTCGAAAATGTACGACTCGGAGATTAATGAGAGTAGATTTATCGGTAAATCGATAAATTGTGTAAATATATGTACCGTAAATACCGATAGATATAGAGAGGGAGAGAGTAAAGGGAAAGAAATTATTTATGTATAAGGTTATATATAAAAATCTTGATTATCATTTCTCTCCTATTCTTTTCTTCATTCCCCAACGCTAATTCTTTGTTACGGTTTGAATAGCCATCCATCGATTTGAATTTTTAATTAATACAATATATATACATATATATATTTAGAAAATTCTACAAAATAAAAAAAAATGTATTTTTAATACTTGAAAGTAATAATTATTTATACGATTATATTTGATATATTCACGCACGTGGAATTATGATGAAAAAATTTGAAGGGTTATTCATGCTTCGAGAAAAATATGCACACGTTATAAATATACGACTATACAACGATAATGCTATTTTATATCTGGCAATATTGTACAGACATATTTTTCACGTATGCACATCATTTTGCTCTCATATTATCATGTTTATTCACGATGCACCATACGCATCAAGGCTTAGGACCGTCTAGCAGGTGATCTCTATTTATGCATCTACTTTAATATCAATTTATGTGCCGTTACTCTCGTATTCCATATAATTATGAAATTTATGTTCTTTTTAAGATACTTTACGTATGTACATCTTTATCATACACACAACTATTTGCGCGTGTATTAAATTATAAAATATATTGCACTTCTTGTTATTTTATTAGATATTTGTTTTTATGCGTAATAACTGTTTAGTATGATTGAAATATAAGCATAGATAGTATCGCGTTTTAGCACATATCTATTATACAGATTATTTGTTGCTTAACATGTTAATAAAAAAATGGTAAAAAGGTATCAGTATAATATATATAAATTTCTATCATAAAAATATTAGAAATTGAAATAATTTTGTGAAGATATTTTTTATTTAAATGCATAAATAATGCTTAAATAATATAATAATAAATGTTTTGTATACATGCAACAATAAAAGTTTTTTATCGATCGATTTATTTTATCAAAACTGATACTGGATTGTTATAAAGATGTACAATAGATGGCGATGAGATGCCATTTGGATTGCTCGACGAATCTGTAAAGGATTTTTCGTATAATCGGACGTATGTACAAACATCAATACTTTGGAGTTGAACATTTGAAATAATTATTAAAAAATAATAAATTGTTTAATTAAAATGCAAAAAAAAAATGCTTAGCAATAATAAGCCATAATATTTTGTATTACTATCTGTTTAAAAAATAAATACTGCTGTTTTTATTAAACACTGTCTTGTTATCTTTGCGTTAATGTGAGCAGTGAAAACGAAAATGAAATATTATTAATCACATTTGAGGCAAATATCTCAAATATTTGTGACACAATACTCGTGATAATCTTTCTACGGATATATCGTCTGTATAAGTCTCATCTATTTTTCGAGTCTTATATTCTCGCGAAATTATGTGAGAATGACTTTGGCAAAGCTCCAATGTGCCGTAGAATGTGCGGGGACATGTACGGAGCAACGAACTTTAGCCAGCGTGAGACTTCGGACAAAATTCTTTTTGTTTCTCAACGGAAACTTTTTAGCCGTGAACTTGATATAGACATTTTCTTTGGCAGTAATATCAAAGTTTCATACATGCCATTTATTCTACGAAGCAATAATTATAGAATGTAATATAGAATAGAATTTATATAACATAGAAGAAAAACGAATGTGTATGTGTGTGTGTGTGTGTGTATGTGTTTTATTAAAAATCAGACTCTAACTATATTCAGGATATTCGATCGAAATGTTTCGCGACACATATCTCTTTTGTTTAATGTGTTTTTTAATCGTAAATGGATAAATTCATTTGTCATTTATTATAGGATAAAAAAATGTTATTAAAATATAATTACAGAAATAATGTTACGTTATAATAAGCTATATACATTATACAGAAGCGAAAATATAAAAATATAGAGAAAGACAAACGAGAAAAACATTATATTTTACCGTTTGATATAAAGGAGAGCTTTTAGATATTTAATTATTATCATGTATAATAATATACATTTTATATGCATAATTTTTCTGCAATTTATGCATTTTTTTAATGCAATTTTTTATGATTTTTTTTGCTCTATTATACATTTTTATCAGACTTAATATATGGATAATTGAGTATTATCATATTATAATTAACGCGATCATTATCGCGTTGGCTAGATTAAAAGCTGTATATACTACGGACCGTGAAAACACAGCTTACTGTCGAGTGTAATAATTAAAAATTACAACTGTAGTGGTAAAAAGTAAAACGAATTTCTAAACCGATTCTAGGCAACCGTAAGTTTTAATTATTATTCGGCGACGATCACGCATAAGCTGCAACCGCGACGCTTGCGCTCGTATTCGTACGCTTAATTAATTAAACAACGTAATTACAGGAACGCGAGAATGCTGGCGGGACATACAACCGACCATTTTTAATTAATTTACGGCCAGGTACGATTACGAGCTTTTCGCTAACGCCCCCCCCCCCCCCTTACTGCGTCGCTTACGACAACGATATCATTTATTCTATAATTCAATTTTAAAATAATGTAAATAAACAGATAATATTATCATGTAATAATAAATACTATGTAGTGTATATATGTATGTTTGTGGGAGTGGCAGGGGATATTAAATATTATAAATACTTAGGTTCATTGTTGAAAGGAGGAGAAAAAATACTTTTGTCAAGTGAGATACGAAAGCTGATCCGTAAAAGTCGATAACGAGAATGTAATTGAGAATAATTTTTTTTTTT